AACAAATGTAGGTTTTCACTTATATTGGTTCCGATTCCCAATCCTAATTATAATCAAGAAAAAGTAATTTTTGTGCAGTCTTACTACGAAGTTGTCAATTGTTTGTTAGACAATTAATCACTGTCATTTACAAATGGTATATTATTGATATATGCCTTGTAATAAATACAATGATATGCTTCACGGGAATCCATCCAATAAAATTTCTGAAACTTTTATGGCTACATCATCTATTTTTAAGCCTGTCCTCCACTTTATATTCACAATTTATCCTTTTTCACATTTTTTTTTTATTTCCTTTTTCTTTTTCATCTGTTTGCTAATCTGTTGACTTTTTAACACACGGTTAGTGAGTTACATATACAAGCACATGAACTTCAGTACTTGGATTTACTTGCGCAGATAGAATCTTTTTGGTACAAAATCGCCCATATGTATCTTAAAAATTAAAAACCTATGAAAAGAGGCAAACTTTTGCAGGAGCTTTTCTTCTGTATATGGAAAAAAGAAGGGAAAGAATCTCATATACAACACACCTGCAAAACCAAAACCCACGTCATCTATATATAAATATTACTGCATATAATCTATCACTAAGGATGAGTTGCAGTTAGAGGATGGCGATTTGGGTGCGGGCCTGAGGACACGGGCCAGGCCTGGGTACTGAGATGCTTGGCCCAATTTCGCCCATTGACATCCCTAGTTGCAGTGTTGCACTTGCACAGGCCGTATCGTGCTATCGGCTGCCCCTATTTCTTTTGGCAAAATCTTCAAAAAGCTGATAGCTGTAGAAAGAAAGGCTCAGGAGTCGAAAGAGGAGTAAAAAAGCTGGTAGTTTGTATTTAAATAATATTTAAAGTAAGAGAGAGGTTATTGAAAATAATAGGTAGTTAAAAAATATGTAAGTGTATGAAGAGTGAATTAAAATTGTTGTGATGCGTGAGAATAATTGATTGATATTATTTAATTATATTAATAATATTGATGAGAGTTGAATTGGATTTTGAGTTGAAGAGTAAAAAAATTATCAGATAAGTCAAAACTGGTTTATGATCCGTTACCAATCTCACCCTTAGTGTGTCATATAGAAAAACACAAAATCCAGTATTTTGAGAAACTTAACAAGCTTTAAACGTGCTCATAAACTTAGAGAAACGAGTTTCATTTCTTTTAAAGAAACAGTCCCTACTCTCACTCCCAACGAGCTTTAAACGAGCTCGAGCTTGGCTCGGTTGCAAGCTTGAGCCTTAATGAGCCAAGCCAAGTTGAGCTCACGAGCAACTCATTTTGTTTGATCAAAAATGGAAAAAATTACAAATATTCCAAAATTACCATCACCCTATTGGCATTTGCCTGTCCTTAACAATTTGACAGTGTCATTAGGTTCATGTAAGTGTCTGTAAGTCACAAGAAAAATGTGTAACACCAAATCAGCTCTGGCTCAAGACTTCACATTCTTCACCACTCAATTATGTCTCTTCGAACCAGAACATGTTCTTATTCATAGGTTATCATTTTTCAAATCAGTACTAAATTTGAAGCTCTTGTGTGGTATGATGTATGCATGAATATGGAGCATGGAATTTTTCAAAAGAAGCCACAAGTAAGATTTATTGTGTTCAAGAGACCTCATTTTCCTAATTTACTCACCTCCTGTATTCCAGTTTTTGGGTCACAATCCCATTTAGCAAAAGTTCTGAGCTATAGACGGAAACCTCTGCGGATAAAAAATCGAGAAATGTCATCACATCATTTACTGTTAATGTCCGGAAACAAATCCCCAATTCGAAAAATAAATAAACTTAAAAATAATAATAATAATAAGAAAAATAGTTGGAGATAGAAATGTACCTTCCTCAAGAAATGGAAGGCAAGTTGTATAATCTTCTTCACATGAGATAACCAATGGATCTTCAGCAATCAACTTATCCTTCATTCTTGGGTTCATTATGCTTTGGACAACCTGAGCAAAAATTTCATGATTTTTTTCACTGGAAAATTCAATACTCTTCAACTAAAAACAAACTTAGAAGATTATATTTATCAATGTTGTTAAAGAGTCCCAACTATAATGAAGTAGCTTAGGATTTATTTATGTTATGAAGTTATATCTTCTTATTTCAGACTCTGACATGTTCTTGGAGTCCATCTTTATCAAAATACGAACTTAACTAAAAGTTCAAAAAAATTCGCATTTACATACCTGTCCCCCAACGGCCTTGACTAAACCACTTATTGCATCTACATCGGGTTTCACATTGGGCGTGATCAAAACTCTTCGACCCTGTCGAAAAACAGAAAGAACTCTTAAGGTACAATTTTTTCATAAAGTTCAGCTTCTGTTCAAATGCAGAAAATGCATCATCACCTTTAAGAGTGGATGTTGTCTGGCACGGCTGAGCGAAACAAGCATGTTGAACCCAATTTCTTTTTCCTTTTTCCCATCCCTCAATATGTAACTCCTTTCATCGACCACATAGCCGGCTTGTTCACAGGCCTCGAGCCATAAGTGGGTCACCACATGTCTGCCAAGGGCAATGGCTTCTAACATATTCTTTGTCCTCACAAATTTATCGGTCACAAAATGTGTGGCGCCCGAGCAACTAGATGCAACCAGAAACCCAAATCGTGCCATGATCTGCCACAAATATTTTATAAAAAGTAAAGATAAAAAGTATTACCGACTGTAATAGTGGATTGAAGTCATTAAATAATGGTACCTTTTTCTGCTGCTTGAGTACACTTGTCTCCAAGTTCTGGCTGAACAAGATGCAGACCGTTTTCATAGCTCTTCTCCTTCTTGAGTCTTTCGGCATAAAATTTGGGAGTGATTCTGTGTAACCCAATCTAGAAAGCTCTTTCATTAGGGGAGACTTTGAGAGGTGGTTGAGCGGTTGTTTGCTCTTTTCACTACCGTCGAGTACTTGCAAAGGAGGATGCATATTTGATGGTAACACGACTGACTTCATTACAGTCGAAGCATTAACAAAGGAACATTTTCCGTTGTCAAAATTTGCATGTTGCTTTGCTGGACTGGCTGTATCAAATTCGATAGGAATCTGTCCTTGCTTCTCGGAAGACGCATCATGGTTAACCAAAGGGCTTGAATTACCAGCCACTTCTAAAGCACTTCCTATGTGTTCTCGCTCTAGTGAAACTCTTCTTTTCCTTTTGTAAACAAAAAGAGTAGCTACCCTTTTTTGTGTCCCATCATGTACTGTAGGGTATTTTTCTGCATTATTCTTGACTGTTGAAAATGGAGAGCAGTGGTTACTCACAGTCAATGGACGTGACCTTTTCCCTTTAGGATAGATCCATGGATTCAACTTTGACAGAGTACTATTAGCTGCATAAAGATTAACATTTTCTTCACTTTTTGATCTCTCTGTTTTCACTCTGGAATATGAATCTTTGATTCCTATTTTGCCCACATCATCATGAAACCTATCCATCTTCATTCGTTTCAGAGGAGAATCAGACTTTAATTGACCAGCAGTCTCCTTTGATCTTCTTTTATACACAAGATGAATTCTTGGAGACTCTTTCATGGGGACCCCAATAGGCTCTTCACACTTGCTATTCTCAGTCATAATGTTCATGTTTACTGGTAAAAGATCAACAACCCCCCTCTGCTTCTCAGATCGTTTTGCAGCAGAACAAGTTACATCCTTGTCCCCAACTGTCGAAATCATTATGCATCTCGAGCGTCTCTTTTTGCATCTCCAACCAACAAAGGCATCCTCATGATTGGCAACATTTTTCTGTTTAGCCTTCTCATTTACGGGGTAAGAGTCTGAAGAGGTGCTCTCTGAAACTTGATGAGCGAGACAAGGGTCAAAAATGGGAGGACCTGCAAGTATTAATTCTCCCATAGCTTCTGCAGCAATTTGAGTGTCCAGCCCAATATCCAACATTTCTGGTGTAAGCCCCTGAATATCACCTTCTTTCGTGTTCTGCCTCGGTGGCCCCACATTAAACTGTTTTCCAAATTCAACTGAATCATATGCAGTGGAAAAACCAGAATTTGATCCCACTTTGACAATATCACTGGAGTTGAGTGAACTTGTATTCAAATCATCAGCACTAACTACATTTCCTGCCAATTTCTCCTCCGAGTGGAGGCCTAAGGTCTCATTTCGCAAGTTAAAATTGTCAGGTTCTTGAAAAGAAGACAGCCATTTAGATTTCTTACCTTTGAACCCAAAGATTTGATCCTCGTTCTTTTCAAGAGTAGTGTACTCATCCGAGTCCATATGGGTCTCAGTCCAGTCAAAAGTCATGAAATTGCTGGCATTACGTGCGAGGTCAACTCTCCTTGCCAAACATTGAGATCCCTTTGACCTCAAAGAGGGGGGTGAAATTAACCTTTTAGTCTGTATAGTTTCCATGTCTTTATATGAGCCCAAATCACTAACTGAGAGGTAGTGATCCACAAACCCCAGAGCCTTATCTTCTGATTCACTAAACCGTGTGCGTTCGTTTGCCTCTCTCCCCGTATTCGTGGGATTAGAGTCATGTGAAGATGATTTTCTCTCATCATGTGAATCCTCCATGGAACATTTATTTACCGAGTTTTGGCAATCAGTGTCAAAAAGAACTTCATTCCTAATGGTGGGAACTGGTCTCTCGTCGGCTGATGTTGACAGCACGTTGTCCATGACACCAAGATGCTCGAGAAATTTATTTTTACTGTAAAGACAAGTCCTCCCAGTGTTACTTTCTTCATCACCCACATCACTACTAGCTGAATCAATATGAAGAAACACGCGCTTCCTGAATTTTTTGTCCAGCCTCCGAAAAGAACCTACGGTGCAATGAAAGAATTACTGGACTAAGTAGGAGAAATTATAAGCGGTCAGATATAAGAAAAAATAAAATGCATGATTACCAAAACATACTAATATTTCTATCATCTAATCAAATGATAAATCCCTATTTTCTAAACAAGCATACGAATAACTCGAGATAAATTTTTTTTTGAGACAACATTAAGAAAAAAGGCCATCGTCAGACTACACTTGACACTTGAGGATTTACATTTTACAAAAGTCCAATATCTTTGCACTCAGCCATCTTACTCTCAAATGCAAGCATATGCCCACATGAGGACGAATTTATTTAGTTTTTGCAAACACATTCAGCAAACGGAATATCAATCTTTTCCATAACTTCAGATGTAAGATAACTAGATAAGGAAAAAAAAACTTCTTGAAAATACAGAAATTAGTAGCTTAAAATCATTTTTTCTGCCATATAATGAAAAGGGGGACACGAACAGGCAAAAGATAGTCCGGCTTCAAAACCTTCAATTTATAAACCAGTCATGTTTCAGAATTTTACCCTTCCTAACTTGCCGCCTTCTCTGCAAACCTATCTCGCCCATGCTTGAAAGTTTCCCGTTTCTCGAAAAACACCCGCTCACAACGACCTCATTTTGGTCACCTCCTCCATCATCATCACTATCAAGCACAACTCGTTTTACGCAATAATCTTCCACACCAACAGTGTCATTTCGGTCACCTCCTTCGTCTTCACTATCAAGCACTACTTGCTCTTCGCAGCAATCTTCCACCCGATATCCCGAACGTCGAGCAGATTCACACTCATCCAATACATCAGTGTTCGAGTCAAGATTCAGAAGCCGGGATTCAGCAATTGGGCTTTCCAAGGGGACAGTGTCGATAACAGCCATCGTGTCAAATTCAACCTCCATCCTATCCTGTTTTTCAGAACAGATTAAAAAAATTTGCTTAAAGAGCACCAGCTTTTTGAAAAACTGTTGAATTTGAACTCGGAAAGCACTATACAGGCAGCTATATCCCAGCATTTCTGAATCATGATCATCACCCACCATTTTGTAGCCGATACGAACACTATTAATTCACTAGAAAACTCACGAAAAATGTAAAATTATATATGTAAAAGCAGATAAGAGCATTTGCGATAAAGCTAGAAGGAAACAGTTCCTAAAACATACTGGTTACGAAAACGACTGGAAATCAAACAGAACGCCAATATTATTATTATTTTTTATTTTTTTTACAGAGAAAACGAAGCAAGTAATTACCGCCAATATTATTATTATTATTTTTTTTTTACAGTGAAAACGAAGTAATTTACCTCGCAAAATTCAGGAGCAGATGAGAGCTTGATTACACCAAACACGCGTTGCTTATGCACCTGGGGCTTGATTGAGCTGCAGATACGCGCAGAGAATATGTGGAAATGAGAAAGAACCCAAAATGGGGAAGATGACTGGGTGTGGTGTGCTTGGGAAGTTTGGGAGGGAAAACGAAGGAATGAAGTTATTATGTACTAGATTTAAAAAAGTTCTTTTCAATTTCGGAAATGGGTATTTGGTCTAGTGGTATGATTCTCGCTTAGGGTGCGAGAGGTACCGAGTTCAATTCTCGGAATGACCCTCCTTATTATTTTTATATTCTTTTCTGGGCCTAAGTTATTTTCTTTCACACAAAATTTTGATTTTTATTTTTTATTTTTTTTTAATTTAGTCATCGATGGTTCTTCATATGAGGCAGAGATAAGTTTGTTGGGAGGGGTAGGCATGCATTTTGAGGGATTATTTCAAAACTTTTGTTTATTTTAAAATCTGCATGATTTATTTTTGTGGGAGCTGTATAATTGTGATAGTGTAGTTGCATATGTGGTCTAGAATAATAGTGAGTTTGGTTTGGATTGGATTTGTTTTATTTTTATTTAAATTCAATTCGAAATTCTATATAGGCAGCAATTTTCGATTTTTTTACTCAAAAAACAAAATTATAAGTTAACTAGATAAAAACAAAACAAAAAAAAATGTAGAAATCAATCAAAAACACGTATTCTCTGAATACGTTTTTTCATGTTATTTACCTTGAAAAACGTCCACTTATTTTTTTTATTTTTTTTTTATATAAATTACCCAGCAATTTTCTAGGCATTTTGTATCAGGGCCTATTTTTTGGGCCTCTAAACCCCGCATCATCTCAATTACTGCATCATCAATTGGTCCATCGTTGATTTCTATTGCATTGAATGTAATGTTATTTTTATGCCTGGAAATTAGTACTAACTTAAATACAAAAGATTTTCACCAANGAGTTAAAAAAAGAAAGAAGAAAACAAATTTAGTAATTCTGTTGTGTTTATTTGTAGTACTATTGCTCGTCTATTCTTCAACCTAATGTGTGTACAACTCAATATTCACAATGCGGTATTTTTGTGGTAAAAATATTAATTTTCCGGTATGTTTTTATGGTTGAGTTATTATTTTATATTTCTGGACTTGATCACAAGAAAGGTGCCCACATAGTATTTCGTCTTTAGAGTTATTAAACGAATCAGGCTGTTCATGGGCTGACTTGCTCGAGTTTGGCTCAAATGAATTGAATTTAAGTTCATTTTGTTAATGAGACGAGACTCAAAAAGTAGAGATTTTTTGTAATTTTATTGAAGTAATAGGGTAGTTTGGCTTGTTAATACTCAAGTCTGGCCTGCTACATTCGATAAACAAGTTGAGCTGAACTTGTTTATTACTTCGAGCACGAGCTCGAGTTTTAAGAGTTTGACTCGGCTAATTTACAGCTCTACTTGACTTTAGAAGAACTGACCCTATTAGGCCTTTGAATTCCATAATTGTCAAGTCCCCAAACACGGCCTTAACATAATAATTATAAAATTTTCATTAGTCATACAAATATCAATCATCCCACAAAATGAATTACAAATTGGAACATGATTTTGAAATAGAAAACCTTTTCCTCTCATAACTATATATTCGGTTCAAATACAAACAATCAGTACCTCCAAATTGATAAGCAAGAAAATATTCCCAACTTAAGAAATAATAATAATAATAATAATAATAATAATAACAATAATAAAAAATAAATTGATTAATTCCCCCCAAATTATTCCAAATTGAAGGAACCTGATTGTCCCCATTCACCTTTCAAAAAGCGACACAAGAATTTCACGGACATGTGAATGCTGCACACTAGCAAACATCCATTTGGGTAAAAGACAACAAACAATCAACAGCAAACCAAATTTTCACCAAACAAAATGCTCATTTATCATCAAATTCTCATCTCATCCCTTTAGCTCAACATGCATAGCTGTGTTTCCTCATCAGCCCCACCAATCTCCACACGCCACGTGTCTTTCGGGCCCCACACCTCACCATCATGAAAATGGTTCCAATTGCAATCATTCATCACTCATTTCTCTCTCTCTGCAAGAGAAAATTTGAGCTCCATTTATTTCAGTACNNNAAGATAAAATTTTTCCTATACCCCAACAAAAAAAGATTGCATCTTTAATGGCGTACTCAATATTAAACACAACCCCATCTTTGGTTACTATTTTCACGTCATTTATCGCGTTTTTTTCGATATCTTTCGCCTCGGGGGAGTTAAGCTTACCGGCTTCGACTATTTCGGCTGCTCCGGCAATCTCGCCGGATTTCATATCTCCGGCTTCTTCGCCGCCGGCATTGTCGCCGGACATTTTTCCTCTTTTTCCAACACCCAGTGGGCCCGCGCTTTCTCCGGGCGACTCCTCATTGCCCTTGATTCCTTCGAGCCTGAGCCCACCTAATCCCGACCCAATGGAGGCTCATGGCCCAGTAACGGTATTTGGGCCTTCACAGGAATATGGGCTTACACAGGGTTCGTTTTCGAACCGGGTCGATTTGAGCTTGGTGGTGTTTGTGTTTGGTGGTGTTTTGGTAAATGCAGCTCTTTAGGGGTGTGCAGGTTTGAAGGGAAGTGAGTTTTCATGGGTTTTTATTTTTATTATTATTATTATTTTTAACTCATTTTGATAATTTTGTGAGGTGTAGTTAGCACTTGGATTTATTTATGAAACTATAATTTAATTTTGCATGTTTACTAGTGTGTATATGGGATATGGTCATAAAATGGTGAGGGTAATAAGGTGTGTAAACAAACTGTTGCATTTTCATGGATTTTGCTATTTGTTAGAAGTAAATTACAAGTTTCGATAAAACTTAAGCCCATAAAATAAAATCTAGGTATAATTTCTTCCAAGTAAAATAAAGTAAATTTTAACTAATATTGTTTTGTATATGTTAGCTTGACTCTCTTTTCAGTTTGGCACATATAGAGATGTAAATGAGAGCCGAGCTCGAGCTCCTAATACTCGGGTTTGGGCTCGAGCCTTTACCTAACCAAGTTGAGTTCATCTCGTTAACTAGATAAGTTGGAGCTCGGTTTTTTTTTTTTATGAATAGCTCAAGATTTAACGAGCCAAACGTGACCATTAAAAGCTTCGATCTTTAGAAAATCATATAAAAATACCTATTTTCGAGTCTTAACAAGTCAAGCTCATGAGCTGTCTCATTTTTTTTTAACAACTCTAGTTTCATTTTCATGCTCTATAGCATACACTTCATAGCCAACAGAAGGTAAAGGCTCTGTCCTATCCATATCAGAGAAAAAGAAAATAATAATCAAATACCATTAGTATTCAAATAACCAAACACAAACAAGTAAATTTATAAAGAATAAAGAATACAACACAGATCCATGCTGGTTTCACAACAGAAGAACAAGAAGAAGAAGAAGATAAAACAAGAATCGCACAGGTCTAAACAAAAATGAAGTAGAATACTTATTACAAGAGTTGAATCTTCTATAGAGAGCTCAATGCTAGAAGAACATGATAATAACACATCACACAATCCACACATCACATTATAGTTAACACACAAACACACACACATATATNAAAAAAAAAAAAGAAAAAATGAACAACAAAAATACACCCACCTTACACCGCAACCAGATTAGTAGTAGCCGCCGGTAATAACAACTTCCCCGATAATCCTCCGAAAAACCTCCCGAAAAACCCTTCTTCCGACTCTTTCTTAGGTGTCGTCGTTTTCTTCTTCGCAACCAAACGCTCCCTAAGCTTCATATTCTCATCTCTCAACAAATCGACCGCCAAACTCAACTGCCTAATAGCTTCCCTCTTCTCCTCATCCTTTTCCACCAACCGATCCTTTTGAGCCCGATTTTCCTCCCTCAGCCTCTCGACTTCTTCCATAAGCCTCTCGATCTTAATTTTATCAAAATCCTCATTTTCGCTCTTGTTTTCTAAAATTTCTTCGTCTTCAACTTCCGGGTCGTCCACTTCAGACTCGTCCAAAAAATCGGGTCCACATGCCTCCGAGTAGCTGTCGTAAGCCATGTCATCACTGAGGCTCGGGGATTTTTCGAGACGGTACTTTGAGAAGGATAGAGGGGAAAACGACTGTGGGGCCCACGGAGTTGGGAAACGGGCCAGGCCCGATTCAGATTTGGAGTGTTGTTCGTGCCGCTCGGCTAGGGAGCGGTGGGCCCGGTATAAGTCCTCGACCATGGACACGAGCTCGGGACGCTTACGGTAGTACATTTCGGCCCGTTGAGCGAATGAGTCGGCATCTTCGTCTATTAGCTTCAGCATTTTTCGCGTCTTCTCATCGAGATCTATCCAAAATGAAAAAGGAAATTTTTTTTGGAAAGG